GGCTCAGAAAGCTTCTTGGATATCAAATGGCTCCATAAGGAGAGGGGGGAAAAAAAGTCAATGATATGAGTAAATGAATCAAAACCATATGGGTCAAATTTTCCCTAAAATATGCAGTTTGAAAAATTAAGGAGGAAAAGTACTTGGCAAAATGTGTTTTAGGTTTTACCAAACCCAAAACATTTGCAGTGGTTGGTGAACCCTACGTGCAGCCTAGTGGTTCATTTTTGGATGCTACATAACAATTTTTAAAAAGCTTCCCCGTAACCCACCAGTACTGTATGTCACTCAAGAAATCATTAGAAGCTGTCACCAAACACTGTGGAGCTTGTAGAAGTGGGATGGGAGTAGGGTGGGAAACAATAAAAGGCTGTTGATGTAACAGGTTTTGTTTCTTGGGTTTGGCTGTGTGTGTTTTGGAGGTGGGGGAGTGGTGAGGGTAGTGTTTCTCACAAAGAAAGTTAATTAGAAGAGCATGTTAATTAGTCTCGTGTCTTGAGCATGTGGTAGCATTTCCTTGGCCCTCCAGATTCCAAGTCAACATTCCTTTTCTCTCCTGCACTTGCAGGAAGGTGCTGGTAGCAATCCAGAGAGGAAATACTTTGTCTCTGTTTCCCTATGTTCTTTCTCTGTTGTCTTGCACCAAGAGAACACAACATTGCTGAATCCGGTTTGGCTCAGTAGATAGAGCGTTGGTCTGCAGACTGAAAGGTCCCAAGTTCGATTCTGGTCAAGGGAATGTACAAGGCAGCTGATCGATGTTTCTCTCATCATCGATATTTCTAGCTCTCTATCCCTCTCCCTTCCTCTCTGAAAAAAATCAATAAAATATTTTTTTTTTTTTTTAAAAGAAGAAGAGGAAGAAGAAGAACAACAACAACACAACCTTTCAAAAGAATGCAGGTACCGTGGGGAAAAACCTCTCTAGAGTGAGTTGAATGGTTTTCTTCTCAGAGGGTATTTTGCCCTTCATTATATAAGCCCCCATCTCCTAAAAGGGATATGAAGTTCAAACAAAATACAATTCAGAGTCAGCAGAAAGTGTTGAGGTCATTAGCCTATGCTCTCCCTCACCCCTCACTGAGAATCTCACCTCAAGTTCCCTGAAAGATCCAGTCTTTGAGGGAATGGGAGGCCAAACACTCCCATTCATAGCCTTTGAGCCTGGCCACTGGGGAAATCGGGGTGAGCATCAGTGCCAGAGCCCGTGGAAAACTTTCTGGGATGTTGTGCTTCCTCGGCAAGTGAAGCGTGCAGTGTCTGTTTAGAGAAGAATGAGTAACCTGGGGAAGAGAGGCTTGGCTTTTTTAACTCTGGTGATAACTCCCCTGTTGTTTCTGTAATTGTGTACATTGGCCTCAGTTTTCCCATAAGATAAGTGGGACTGTTCCCAGATGTAGTTACTGATTCCCTCAAACAAGATAAACTTGCCAGCAATTCAGTGATGCACAGACCCTTTCAGAACCTGAGGAAAGATGTGAACAAAGTTTCTAAGAATTTTGGCCAATATTCTGAGGTTTATAATGTCGTAAGTGCATGTCCGTCCATTGCTGCTCCAACATCAGCATCCGGGCAGGTGTGACCTTCTGAGTCCCTGCTTCACAAACTACTCCTCTCGAAGCTGAGACCTTCCCTGAGGGCATCCGACAAATACTTGGATAACATATTTTGATTCCAAGTTTTAGAAGATTCTTTGCTTGAGGGGACAGATAGATTAGAAACAACCCCCCCAAAAAAGCAACTACAGTCAACACATACAGAGAAACAAAAAAGCCCATCAAACAAAAGTTTCACACCTTCTAACTCATGATTTTCAAGTCTGAATAGCAAATGACCCATCAATTTTAATGACACTAGGGGAAAAAAGTCAAATAAAAGGCACATATATTTTAACAGATCAAATATCCTACAATGAATTGATCATAATGACTCAAATAACTTTAGCTCCGATTCAATTTAAATTCATAAGTAGGGGAAGGTCAATAAAGAAATGCAAAGCTAGAGAAAAGACAAAATGCGAAGTTATATACACCATCTTAGGCATATTTTTTAAGAACATAGACCCAAAAGGAAGAGCTAGAAGGCAATAGGAAAAAATATTATCAGTGGTTGCCTGGGGTAAATTTTTTCTACTCTAAAGAAATTTTTTTAAAAAGATTTCTATTTTCTACAATAAGCATACTAAATTATTAGTGGAAGTTTGAAGATTAATAGAAAAAATGTGTAAAGCAAAAAATAAAAAAGGGGTATATTAGCACAAAGAGTGTAAATTAACCTGAACCCAAAAAAGTTTAGAAAACTAAACTTTTAATAGAAATGATTTTAAAATATGATGTAAGACCCCTGCCTCTATTTTTCATAAAACATATTTAGTCTCCATTCAATTGTGAATGGACTAAAATGGACAAGATCTAGACCAGAAGCCAAGAATCCCAGGTCTAGTCCCAATTCTCTCACTATTAGCCCTGTGGTCTTCAGTGAGCCATGAGCTCTCTGAACCTCCAGTGGATATGTCTGCATCTTAGATGTCCAGATAGAGGAAAAGGAAGTGGAAGAGTGAAAGAAAAAGAAGAAAGCTAATCATAATATTAGTTTTATTTCAATATTATATGGTCTAATATATTAATAAGCTCTTCTATAAAATAAGCAATGAGTCTCAAGGGTCACCACCCTTTCTCTACTTTAGCTTACAGGTAAACCAGGTTGTTTGATGTGGGCTTTTGTCTTCAAATTTTCTTCATAATATTTTTAATAAAGCCAGATAACCACAAACAAGGATATCCCCCCCTCCCTTGCCTGAATAGAGGCATTCCCGAGGAGTGATAAATCCCCAAAGTGTAGAAATATGAGTTCTAAGGCCCAAGTTTTCTATTCCCTCATTTTGCAAAGATTGATGAGATGCTGATTCACTCACTGTCTTTCATTTTTCAGTTCTGTGTGAGGAAATAAGAAGCTTCGTATTACTTTCCTAATTCTTTGGGGATGCTATCAGAACTAAGACAACACGCATTCGTATTGGCGGTTTAAGACAGACGTGTTATGACAGCAATGCAAAATATCCTGAGTATCTGCAATGTTTTCAGGAAGGGATTAACATAATGTGTAGGAGCATAGTAAAGAAATACAGGAAAATTTGCCTGTGGAATTTTCCACTGCTTGATACTGGAACAATTCCCACCCAACTGCCAAGTCGGGAATCATAGCCAGCCTTCTTGAAAATCAAGGATTAACAGTTTCAAGGTCAAGTGCTAATAATTCCACTTTTGTAATGCTTATATAATGCAATAAAATACCCTTGTTAGAATGTGCAAGGTGACACACTTATTAAAAGCTAGCAGTTTCACGGATAGAATAGAGATTTGTGTCCCTATATTTACTATGGTTGAACACTAAAAAATATCTCACCTTCCAGAAGTAGTTAGGCTTAAAGTTTATTTTTATTAAAACTTTCCATCAAATCACATTCATAAAAAGCTTTTCCATGGCCCCAAACCACTTACGTTAAAAACTGCAGAGATAACTCTTTCTGACGTTACTTCTAAACTGTGGGAGACACTTACATGCTATAAACTTGGGCATTTAATGATGCATCCATCAGTCCGTGATGTTCGTGCAGAATCACATTTATAAATGCCAGCACTTGACAATTAAATGCACTAAAGTTCAGTAGGAAGCACATTCATTGTTTTCATGTTGTTATTTTCAGCTGAGGTTTAAATCCACCTCTTTTTTTTCCCCCCCAGAATGTGCTATAGGAATCTATGAAACTTAATTACATTTACTGTTACAAAAAAGGATTTATGAACTTTTGCCTTCAGGCAGAAATGTTTATTTCATTGCCTTTACTATTCATTCTTTTCAACTCCAACGGCTTTGAACTTTTTAGCTGCTCAGAGTTATCACTGTTGTGCAGAGCCCGGGAATTCCACTCCCAAGACGCAAACCACAAGTTGAAGAGAACGAAGGAGGCAAAGATATATGAGTCGTTATTTTGGCCACCCTTTGTGCCATTAAAATCTCATTTTCTGCCTATTAGAATGCCCTCTTGGTGCTTAGGCAGCGGTGATAGTCCCTGATTAGTGTGTAATTGACTATAATTGTCTTTTCACTTTTCATTTGTGTCATTCTGAGCTTCTCTCTGTTTTTCTAACCACCAAGAGGAAAAAGGCGGTTAAGGAAAGATAAAGCTGTTAAAACTCTCACACTCAGCCCCGAAGAGATTCTTGATCGCAATTATAGATTGCCACCCCTTTGTGACATTTCTCCAAGTTTAGTGGGCAGCTCTCCTCACCACCTGGGCCGAGAGCTGTCTAATAAAATCAAGCGATCTGTATTTAAACAACTGCTAATAATGTCAACCCCAGACAGATGCCACATGTAGGAAATTTAACCAACCCTCTGACATGCAATTATCAAGGCAATTTACTAATATGATCTCTCAAGAAAAGCTCATAGTCCAATGCAAATTAGAAAAACAATTACACCATTCAAATATCTCTATATTCCCAAAGAGCAGTAATTCTCCTAATTCATGCATTTATGACTGCTTTATACCAAGATTCCATAATCATCAGCTGGGTCTCTCCTCATGCACCTTGTCTGCTTCCTCCTGATTGTTTTTTATAAACTCTGGTGCCTTATTAGTTGCTTTTGTTCACAACTCTCTCAGCTGGCCAAATACCATGATTTTAAATGTGCATGTTTCTTACTCAAAGACGAGAACCAGGGGTAGAAACAACAAACCCCTTGACAACTATGTCTAAACGGAAAATCTCCCTGATTCTGTCATAAACCACTTGAGTTTTAAGTCTAAGCTACCACTTTTGATACAGCCCATAGGAAGGCTGGAGAGAAAGGAAGCTAGGAAACTGAAATCATGTGGCTCGTATAAGGAATACATTATGGTTTAAATTTGGCAATTCATTATACCACTGCCTCAGGGAATTGGCTGTTTGGTTCTGGTATACAGCAAATCATCTGTCTGGAAACACGGGACTGACCTGAGGTGAAAGGCCATTGCCAATGGCGGGGTTCATGGGGTTGGAGGGTCCGGACGGAGGCACAAAGCTGTCTGTGTAGCTGGAAAATCCATGCCTGGTGCTGGGGAGACAGTAGGCAGAGCTGCTGTCCGGGTTCGAAGGAAGAGTGCTTTGGTGTACGGTGCTCGGGGGGAGTGGCTGAGGTCTGTGCACGGTGCTGCTGGGGTCTGACACGGCTGCAATGAAGAAGACGGTCAGCCACCAAGGTTCCTCGTAGGAAGGGCAGTGCCAAAGCTCACAGGCACCACGCCATCGGGCCACAGGTTCACTTCCAACTCCTTTTCTATTCTTTCATTCTTTAAATGTATCTTTGTTGTTGAAAGTCCCCTTTTTTTCCCATTGACCCTCCTCCACCCCACACCCACTGGTCCCATTTCTTAACATGGGGATACCTCCCGCACATGTGTGCAAGTGCACAACTGGTTCATGCCCTTTCATGGCAAACTTGCCCAGAATAGGAATTCAGAAACCACATTAACAAGGCTAGCAAACCTATCTGGGTAGCAAATGTTACTAATCAGCATAAGAATTAAGCGATGTAAGAGTTGCAAGTCTTAAATTTCTTTAGCAAATAAACTTTCAAAGCACCTCGGTATCAGTGCAATAGTAGAGTTTCAACTGCCTAGAATGCTATCTTTCATAATCCAAAATAATTTCCTCTTATTTATCCCTTTCACCTCTAGGTGCCAACAAGTTTTGTGCCTTTGTCTAAGTTTACTTTCCTTCAGTGACCCCTGTGCTTGGGACCCATCGTGGAACTTCAGTGTACTTCAGTACACTGGAGTACAATTGTCCAGGCAAATTCTTTAACAAAAGAAAAACAAATCGCTTTTTTTTTTTTTAATTGTTTGGTTTCCTTGTTTTGTTTTGTTTTGTTTTCAAATACTGAAATGGGATAATATTACAACACAATGTATCTAGAGAGACTTAGATATGTCCCAAAACAAACTGTGTTTCTGAAATGTGACTGGGACATTCAAGACGACCTGATGTAATGTCATTAACATGCAAACAGCAACAGTGTCACCACGGCTTCCTCAGAATCAGCAGCAGGGAGAGCTATTGTGTGTGTGGGGGGGGGGGGGGGAGCCCGGGGGGTTACATTCTACCATCTTGACTCCTCCATACCTTGTGGAATAGCAGTGGGCTGGTATGAGGTCTCCGACAGCTGGTATGTTGGCAAGGTGGGCATGGCGGTGGGAGGGAATCCCCCCGGAATGAGATGGTTGAAAGCCATCAGTTGATTGGCCCCAGCTTGCTTCCTCCATCTTGCGCGGCGGTTGCTAAACCAGACCTATGGATTTAATTTAAAATGTGAGGGCTTCGCTGATGAAATAAGACTACATTCTTAATGAATTTTTCATGCTAAGACAGATTAAAGGCCCTTTACTGACAGGGCAAAAAGAAGTAAGAGCTCTCCACCCTCTGGGTTGTGTTGGCAGAGGACAGCAGAGAGTTAAATGTCAGGGGTCACAGAGGGGCTTCAAAGGCACTCTGTGGTCTTGCAGAGCCCCCAAAATACAGGGGTGAGCCTGGGTAGAAAGGGCTGAGCTGGAGTCAGAACAACAGAGACCCCCTAGTGTTACCCCCACCACCCTCCCACCCTGATGGATTCTAGGGAGGATCCATGAGCCTCTGACCCCCACATAACCCATGTCCTAATTTGGACCTGCCTATTACACTAACCCTTGTATTTTATATTCTTATCAGTCTGTCTCTGTATTTCTATGATTATCATGGTCATAGCTCCTGGATAGTCATATAAATTGACCATGGAAGTAAATGAAGCCATCTTACCATCCCTTTCAGTGTGTGAGACATTGTCCTGATCTTAGTGGAAATAAATGCTGAAGAGGTATTTCAAGAAATGAGAGCATGTTATCTAAGGAGATCCGTTAAATACTTACTTTATTATTTCTTTCAACAACAGCTTTAATCATCTATAATACTCTGTGCCACGCACTATGCTAACCAGGTACATTCAGAAAAACTTGATGTAATAAAATAAAATGCCTTTGAGAAATTTAATAGATAAGTACTTTGTATGAGCAGCTAGAGAGAAATGGCAACAACAGGAGGAAGAAATGTAACTGAACATCTAAAATATTGAGAAATTATTAATGGGCCCCCGGATCTTGCCCAACTATTACACCTGCAGAGTTCAAATGTAGAACTTTAATATTTCCAGGTGTACCTGTAATGCTGCCCCCAAAATGAGAGAAGATTTCTAGCAATCAAGTATTTGCTAATTCCTATATCAAATGTTCACTGAAAACTTAATATGGAGAAAGCACTATGCCTGGGGTCAGAGGGATAGAGGGGTGAATGAGATGATAGGAAAAGGTAGGATCCCTGGACTCTAGTAGCTTATAATGTTGTACTTATGGAATCCAGAGTTATCAATGAAACCAAAATAATTGCTCACTGGAGTTAAAAGCTCCAAATACTGAGAAGCTTGAAAATTAGAGTGGAGACAGAGTTTCAATTCAGTTTAAAGTTTGGGTATGATTTCAACAGGAGGTCACTCAAATGGAGGTGATAGTACAGGAGACAGCACGTCTAAGAAAAAATAAGACCTGATTTCCTTATAGAACAAAGTTAACAATTATACAACTTATTTGTCATTTTTTAAGTTGTAACTTGTTTAAAAAAAAAAAAGTGGTGGGTGGAATTTCTCCTTTCTAGAGCAAGAAAGCCCAATTTGACAAATATTTTGCCAAGGCATCTGCTTAAACTTTTGCTCCTTACCTAAGCTCTGACAAAAGAGTTTGGTCTCCTCTGGGCATGTTGCAAGATATTGTTAAGGAGAGCTGTGTGACCATCCTCAAAACACTAATATTTAATAGTCCTTAAGTTTCCAACCAAAAAAGAAGGTAAGTCAATATTTTCCCATGTTGATACATAATTGAATTAGACCTGGGATAATAGAACCATGAACGGCACTCAACTTGAGGTCTGCGTCAATTGTGTTTCTCACAGCAAAAGATTTGCTGTGATCCCAAGAGGCATCAGGGCAAGAAAACTGTGTTTCAGAGAAGTGCTTGAGACAAGCTGTGTTAGCCTGGGGATGCTGATGATAAGAAATGAGTAGCTGAAACCGGTTTGGCTCAGTGGTAGAGCGTCAATCTGCGGACTGAAGGGCCCCAGGTTCAATTCTGGTGAGGGGCATGTACGTTGGTTGTGGGCACATCCCCGGTAGGGGGTGTGCAGGAGGCAGTTGGTCCGTGTTTCTCTCTCATCCACGTTTCTAGCTCTCTATCTCTCTCCCTTCCACTCGGTAAGAAATCAATAAAATATATTTTTTAAAAGAAATTAGTAGTATAGTCATGCCTGAGTACACTGTACTATACCATACACCATGGTTTTATTTTATATATAAAACTTTGAGATTAACAAGTCCACCTGACTCAGGTGATGTGGTGTTTCCCTTACAACCCTCCACCCATACACACACACACACACACACACACACACACACACACACGCACACACACACACACCTATCTAGACAAATCTACATATAGTAGATCTCCAGCCTTATGTACTAGGCTGGGAGGAGAGTTGAATTTCCAAAAGTTCTGATGTGTCTTCAATTCATTCAGACACACTAGTCTCAATTGTGCTGATGAAATATTTTATAAAGAACTCAGAAGTCTGCACTTTTGTCATTATCAGAGCAATGTTGCCAATTTCTCTATGCCAACTTCTTTCTGTGACCTTTAAGTAAGTAAACCAAGTGTGATTTATGCAGTGGATGGTTATACCTGATTACTCCATCAATTTACCCTACTTTTAATTTATGCTTATTCTGATTCCTCCTTAACCCAATTTTTAATAAATAAAAAGTCTTTCCTCAAATAATAAGTTAGAAGAAACACCATAATTTCCACAAATACATTCAAATGATCAATCCAAAAGAATAGGGATTTAAGGTCTCTGGGATCTTATTTTCATTTTTTCAAAATGATACAAAAATATTGAAGACATTGAATAAACCCACTGGGAGTTGGATTTTAAAATTCTTATATTTACAGTACAATCAAAGATTAAGAGAAATCGTTGGGAAGAAAATCTTTACTGAAAAATAAACCTTCAACAGGAGATTCAAGAATTTCCTAAAGGGAAGAATTCAAATGTACTTAAATTTAAATAAATCCAGAGGGCTAGTCCTGAATGAAGCAGGGCTTACTAAGGACTGGCTTAACTCTGGCCACTCAACCAAATTTGTCATCATCTTGCCATTGCTGGCCTTCTGCCTCTCCTAGAACCAGCTTTCTGCCAAAAGAATCATCAAAGGAAAAATATACTGAAGTTGCAAATTGGGAAGTGGTTTTTGCCTTCTTTATGCTTTGAAACTCATAAAAGATATATCTTTAATAGACATATTTTTAACAGAAAGAAAATGTTGCCCTTGAAATAACCCTCATTTTAAATACCCAAACCAGCTAACACAATTGTCCTGGGGGACTGTTATCACCCCATCTTTAACTCAAAGACATCCCCTTGAAGTTCTTACTTCATTTGATGACCTGAAGCTTGGTTCATTTTCATCTGGTGCCTGGTTTTCTCCCTACTTGTCTGTCTCTCTACAGAGCCCTTCCACAAAGCTATATGCATGCCTTCTGGAAATCATCTTTATATCCATGTCTGAAGTAATACAAAGTCCAATGAAGCGAAATTTAAATTGACCGGAAGGTCCCCATAACATCATGGTAACTGTGATGGGCGCGCAAGATGGAGGGGGGGGGGGTGTAAGGAAGGGAAGATAATGAATTACAAAAGAAGAAAAAGATTTTCATAAATTTTTCTCTTGATGAGTAATATAGACAACCAATTTGTTCAGACCTTCAACAATGTATAATAAGGGAAAACTTAGCACTTTAAAAGCTATAGTAATACTTTTTATTCACATGGGTGCAACACAAGCCATGCAAAAGTTGACTTGCAGCTCCCTGACTTATTACCTCTGTGACCTTGAACAATTTGTTTAATGTCTGAGACTCTTCTCTAATCTGTTAAATGGGAGAAATTAAAAAAAACACACACACTATTTTATAAGACTACTGTGATATGTAGATAAAACATTGCCATCAAAGACCTTAAAAGAATTCCTAAAAGATATTAAGTGTTCAATAAATGTTAGCTAATAAGTAAAAATGTCTCATTGCCACCTCTAAGAAACCCAAGAACTAAAGCCTTGCTTTGTTTCTTTAACTCCGTGGTCTACAGTCAAAGCTTTTTATGCTCATAAGCAAACAGAAAAGTGCCCAAACAACACCTCAAATCTTTGAAAGCCAGTTGGGCTTGAATGGAGATGTAGGTCAAATTTGTTTCCAAGTTTCATGGATTAGTGCTAATTGTCCCAGGGTGTAAGCCTAATTTTGCCCATCCATAAAATCCATAAATTACTCCTTCACGTTTTTGGTGTGGACCTCAAAGGCAATCTAACTTACATTATTCCAGATGGATTATTTCACATGCAATTTAGAAAAATGTAGAAAGAAAAGAATGTAATATATAATCCTTATATTTAAAAAACTTGATTAAACATTGGATTTGGTGATGTCTAATGCTACAATGCCAAATAAAGGACTTTGCAAGTAGGTGAATTCAGGACAAACTCCTCATTCCCTGGACCTTCTCATTCACTCCATCCCCTCTCCCTTTGGAGACCACACCCTCCCAGCCCCTATCATTTCAGCCATCTAGCTTTGACAATTGTATGGTCCACAGGTCAGGGAGAGGATGAGCAAGAGGCTGAGGGAGAAACCCATGTTCCATGAGTGTCCAGAGGACCACAAACATGCAGGAAAGCATACTAAACTGCATCTCTATACTTTCCAAGAGTGGGCTCTTATAGAAAATTGCAGGATGACAATGTTTTTGCTTCATTATGGAGTTTAGAGTCAATTATTCTATATGTATCTTAACTTCAAACTATTCAGATCTGATGATGCTAAATCACCATTGGGCTTCCTTGAGAATCCCAAATTACTGATGCTAGCAGGGCACTAAGATATCATGCATTCTAATAGTTCCTAATTGAGGAATGGAACAGTAGGAGGTGGTATTTGAGAATATGCCCTCTTCCTAGTTAATGCCCTACACACACACACACGGTGCGGGGACAGGGGGTGGACAAAGAGAAGCAAAGGCACAACATTTTGTGTACAAATCTCAAGTCTCCAAAAATCACTCAAGATTTTCCTGGTCGTCCACAGACCCAGAGTAACCTACTCCAAATTTCAAAACTTAAAGAAAAAACATACACACAAAAACATAAAAACAACTAAGGCATACTTGGATTATAGCAGAATTAAGTGACTTGCTCAACAAAACGCCTTTGACAAGCTGAGACCAAAACCCACATCTTCTGGCTCCTTCTTACGTGTAGTTTCTACAAGCAGCTTCCTTTCCTGTCTGCTATGATCTTGGTGGTAAAGAATAATGCCTGCCTGCCTCATGGAGCTCTCAGATAAAATATTTACTAAAACTTTTGCACATCATAAATATTTGCACAACATACTTCCCCACAAAACGTTAATGCTTTCTATTATTTCCAAACTAACAGCTACCCAGGAAGTAAACTAGGCAAATTAATCTTTGGTGTACAATTCTTAGATTGTGTACTCAGATTTGACTATGATAAATACAATGTAGCTACTGCCCAAACAAATTTTTATGAAATACTGACAAAGGCTTATGTTGGAAATATTTTTCCTCAGGAAAATAAATGGAATAGGAAGTGTTTCTTATTGTGTGTATTGGGGGGGGGGTTGTTTGTTTGTTTGTTTGTTTTTTGGTTTGGTGTTTGGTTTTCCAGTTTCCCCAAATTAAACTAACTCACTTTCTGGCTATCACTCAAATGGAGTTGACTTTGCTACTGCTTTCCCAGATCCTTATAAAAACTACAGGATTTTGTTCTGGCATTTTAATCAGTGATTAACTACTCCCTTCTTTTTCCTGCTGGGCTAAGTAAGATCCATATGCCGGGTGTTGTAGGGAATTTGTTAGGCCGTAGATCATAGCTGTGGTGCAGGACGGGATGTGTCTCAAGGGAACTAATGAAGCCATAAGGAATGTAAAGAGTCACCGGGTTAAAGCCACATTAGGACAGCTGTTAAGTTAATGAGGGCCCTACTTCGGAGAAGAGGTCACTGTATAGAAAAATATGAACCACTGTTTATTGGTTTGATCCCATGTCTTCTGGAAGTTAATGGGCCATTCTTATTCTCTGACATTCACTGAGCCAGATGCGAACACCAGGCTCTGTCCAAGCTGCATGGGCTTGAGATTGATTCTGCCCCCCGTCCTCCTCTTTGGCAAAGGCAAGAATGAAATAGAGCAATGCTGAATGCTCCTTTCAGTTTTCAATCGCTCCCTTTGTTTGATATCATTAAAAATCAATATTTATTGTTTGAGTCTGAGTTATCTTAAGGATAGACCCTGCATGTGAACTTGGCCAGCCATGGACTATGGGGGCCAAATCCTGGAATACAGTGGGCACTCAATAAAGGTTGCTGAAAGAACAGAGACTGGATGAACTGACCTTCACATTTAAACTGGGTAATCCCAAAACTGGGTAATTCTAGGATTAACTATTTAGTCCTTAAAACTAAAAGCAAAACATATTTGATATATATATAGTAATTGTGGCATTAGTACATGTAATATTAAGTATACCATATATTATTATATAATGATATAATACTTATGTATAGATATTATCATGATATGTGGTCAATTCTGGAAAGCAATTCTGTATCCCAATGTAACAGGTAGAGGAATTCAATAGTAGCAATTGGAATCTACACTATACACCTGGTATATCTGTGACTCTTACCTTCACTCCCCCCACCTCCATTATCACAGTCAGTTCCCTTATATTTCAGTTCTAAGTACCTTTCATCACCATCCTCTCCTTTCTATTCACACTGCCACTGATGGTTTCATACCCACAGACTCCCCACCTATCACATTAAGTGTGAGTGTCCTCGCCTGAAACTTAGGCCTTACACAAGATGTTCTCAGAATAGATTTCCAGCCATATTCCTTCCTGCCACTGACCACTCCTTACCTTCCAATCAAAATGAACTATTCTCTGTTCCCTCAACATGAGTTAAAACAAAAGATCGCCTGATATGTAACCTATGTTCTTCCAACTCTGTGCTTTTTGCTCATATTACTCCCTCTTACTGGTATGCTTATCCCTACCTGCCCTGTCCAATGAATAACTATCGCCTCAAAAGACTATCTTAAATCTCCCTTCTCCATGAGCCTCTCTTGTTTACTCCAACAATATCTCATCTTTTCCTCTTCTCAGCTCCCACTGCATTTTGTCTCTTATGATACTAATTGCATCGGCTTTACCTTTAAAATTATTTGTATGTTTACTTTATTACCCATATTAGGTTGTAGCTCCTTAAAAAGACTTGTCTTAATTCACCTCAGCATTCTTCGACTTTTTTAGCACAATGATGACTGTATGAAAAGTCAAACGGAATAAGACAACCCCTCTGACTAGGCTCTGAGCCTGGAAGAAGTTATTGCTGTAAAATTCTGTAACAGCGGAGGAAATTAGGTACATATGAGGAAGTACTGATCGCTTGAGACCATATCAGCTAACTAGTTCACTGCTGAGTTCCCAGACTCACTTTGACTATGAAAGTTAAGTATCTGGGAATACACAACATTTCCAAATAAGATAACTTAACTTCTGGGATAGTAAAGAGTTCCAGGATACCCTAAGACATTTGTAATCTTTCAAATGGTGCTTTACTACCATGAGGAGAAAGTTCATCATTAATGAGTGGTAAAAACATTCTATCATTCAATAGAAACATTATTACACCAAAGAAGCCTTTTCCAGAGGGTTAAGAGTATAGCTAACTCTTGAACAATACAGGTTTGAACTGCCTGGGTTCACTTAGAGGCAGATTTTTCTCAGTAAATGCCTGTAGTGTTTTTGATCTACAGTTGGGAGTCCTCAGATGTGTTGGACTTGAGTATCGTTGGATTTTGGTATCTGTGGAGTGTTTTGGAACCAATGCTCCATGGATACTGAGGGATAACTTAATTTTTTCAGGAGTCAAGAGTTATTACATATTTTCAACTACTCATGGGTCAGAGTCACTAACTCCCATGTTGTTCAAGGGTCAACTGTACATCTAAGAGTTCAAAAGATAATTCAAACTGTTCTTAGGATAATATAGATGCTTGAGATACTTCCAAACAATAAAATCCTTAAAGGAAGGGTTTTTACCTTATACACCCTTGCATGTCATCATAATTATAAGGCCGTGGAGAGGAAGCATATAGAATCCAAATGCCTACTACTTACAAGGGTATAACTTGGGGGTAATAATAGTACCAATCTAGGGTTGTAATGATGAGTAAATGGGTTAATTCATGTAAAACACTTAGAACAGTACTTGGCACAGAAAAAAAGAAAGAAAATAAAACACTCAAATTGTTCTGCTATTATCTGTGTACCACCTCCAAAGTCCAGATAATGACTGTTACACAATTAAGATTCCTGAAATGATGTGTGAAACATGAACTGATATACTTCTGTGTGTTTTAACTGATACAATCATACTCTCCTAGTAATAATCAAATTCTAAAAGAAAAATGCACATTGTCATAAATACCAAAAAAAAAACACACTAAGAATTCAAAGGAAGCAAATTCAATAGATCAGATTTTAAAATATGATCTATACAATAATTGTATCAAACAATACAAAAGAAGTCAAGTGTGTCTATCACAAATTTAGTTGGACTCACCTACCTATTAAGATTTTTTTTTTTTCTAAAATCCTGCTAAATAGATATACCTATTTATCTATTTAGCAGGATTGAGAGATGGGGAGGAGAGGAAGGGTGAATCAGGCAAATTCAAATAAAAAGAAAAAAGAGGTCATGATGCTGTTATAAGGCAAATTATGAAGAAAAGTCATCAGAGAGAAAGGAGAGAACTTGGTAGTGCTCTAGGCTACAGTTCACAAACTGCTATTGCTAATATATCTATTTTCCTGATTTAAAATCTGCTTTAAAAGGAGAAAAGACTCTTTTTTGTTTCCTACTGGACTGACGCAGGACGAGGGCATGGCGATGGCAGTACCTGCACTCGGGCCTCGGTGAGCTTTGCCCTCTGTGCCAGCTCCTCCCTGGTGTAAATATCAGGGTAGTGGGTTCTCTCAAAGGCACGCTCCAATTCTTCCAGCTGCTCTGCTGTGAAGGTGGTTCGGCTTCTGCGCTGTTTCCTCTTTAGTGGCAAATCGGGTTCAGAGTCAATGTCTGAGCCTTCATCCGACTGAGGTGCTGAGGCTACGAAAGAGCACAGGAGGGGGGTGGAAATGATAAAACGGGAACCATAATTCAAGTCTGCACAAGCCATAATGATTCAGATCCTAAGATACATTCCCAATGTTGTTCATGGACACCGAGCCCCTCCTTGAGGTATTATATTATTAAATGGCATTTAATCTCTTCCACTACCCTCTCTTCGAGCCCCCCAGGTAGAAATAATGGCAATCTGCTTCTGTCATTCAAGGTCCATTATGAGCTCTTAGCAAACAGGGACAGGACTTATTCCATTTTTTATGACCTTCCTCCTTAGCAGTTAATGGGTCACTTAATTTATGTCTAATGAATGAGTCACATTTAATTTGGTTCCTGATAAACTTTTCAGCAATGTTTGCAACAGGAACTCTGTTGTTTTAAATAAATAATCAACTTAATATCTAAAAAGGCAATAACAGTAAACTATTGCAGGATTCCTATAAATGTACAGGGTCCACCTCTCCTTTAAGAAAAATCACGTTTAAATATCTCATTGCCCCCTGGGAAATGCTTTAAGGAGAATTTAGAAACTGTGACTACAAATCTGAAGAATAAGTTCAGGAAGAAGCAGGCATCAACTAGTAAACTGTCTCTTAACTGAAGCTCAGAGTCTGGGCCCTGAATGGTGGGTGGCTGCCCGGGACCCAGAGCTCAAGATAGCAACAACTGAGCATGAAACCAAACACAGGGCCCTTCTGAAGGCGGGGCCTTGGGCAACTGCACAGGTCAGTTCCTAAAGCCAGCTCTGCTACAGCCTCCTCCCCACCAAAGCTTGAATTTGCCAGGGAAGGAGACCTTACAAATTTATGTATGGGTTCTATTAAAGGGGAGAAGGTGCTAGGAAAGGGGAGGTGTTGAGAAATTAGATAGGAATTCAAATTAATGATACAATGTGGTGTCTGTGAGATGTGACATAGCACCTGTTGGCCTATAAAGCATCTGAGGTTTGAGAGCCCTGTGTCTGGTGTTTGCACCAGACACAGGGCTCTGGGCAGCAGAGCAGCCCTGACCCAGAGGCCCTGGGCTTTGGGCAATGGCAGAGGGCTGTCAGAGGCTTACAGGCAATAGACACTAAGTATATAATAGTACTGGAACGAAGCCTCCTTGCTCCAGGGCACAGCCAAACGTGCTCTGAAAACTCCCTGAATAACGGGGGGGGGGGGGGGGGGGGGGGTGTTCCTCCGGGGAAGGATTGATTTGTGCTCTCAGCAAATGAGGAAGGAAAACCAGAAAATTGTAGATAATTGATGTCAATGGCAGGGTAAGGCATTTGCACCCTCAGTCAGGTAGGACCTGGGGAAATGCAGGTGGTGTTAGAAGCAATGTGAAATGCCATGTCTCCTATGTCCTTCTCTTTCATCTTCAGCTCAGACTTAGCACTGTCCTACGGAAATCTAAACTTTCATTCTACTTTAGGATGAATTGTATTCTGCTCAAAAAGGTGCGTATCTAAAATAACCAATAAATAGCCAAAACCGGTTTGGCTCAGTGGTAGAGCATCAGTCTGTGAACTGAGGTGTCCCAGGTTTGATTCCAGTCAGGGTCATGCATGCGGGCACATCCCAGGTAGGGGGTGTGCAAGAGGCAGCTGGTCGATGTTTCTCTCTCATTGACGTTTCTAGCTCTATCTCTCTCCCTTCTTCTCTGTAAAAAAAATCAATTAAATAATATTATACAATAAAATAACCCATAAATATAATTTTAAGTTTTGTAATAATTTAATACTTTTTCATTTTATTCTTACTCAAACACTAAAATCAAGAGAGTAAATTGATACACATGACAAATTTTAAAAGAGTAAACACTTGTGCATAAAAGCAAAACAAAACTATAATATATACAGTATCTACTGGGTTAGACATTGTGCTTGGTTTTTCAATTGTTATCTAATTTAATAGAAAGTCTAACTTCATATAAACTCGTTATTTTAGAACATTTTAGAATTAACTTTAAAAAAGAAAACAGAGCCGAAACCGGTTTGGCTCAATGGATAGAGCATCGGCCTGCGGTCTGAGAGGTCCCAGGTTCGATTCTGATGAAAGGCATGTACCTGAGTTGTGGGCACATTCTCAGTGCGGAGTGTGCAAGAGGCAGCTGATTGATGTTTCTCTCTCATCGATGTTTCTAACTCTCTATCCCTCTCTCTTCCTTTCTGTAAAAAAATCAATAAAATATATATATTTTTAAAAACAGATTTTCCTAAAATATGGGGATATTTTAAGAGTATTAACATGCAAAGAAATATGCCATGCATTGCATTGCAAACTTCCAAAGCTCCTAATACAACGTGCTTGTGTACAGGTTTGATAAATATGAGCCAAGTTAAAAGAGCGATAACTGGTGCCCAATTGTAGAGCAGTGGTTCTCAGACTTTCAGAGCATCACAGTCATCTGAAGGACTGGTTAGCACAGATTGCTGTCCCTTTCCACAGTTTCTGATCTGTACGTCTGGGGTAGACACTGAGAATTTGCATTTCTAACATACTCCCAGGGGATTTATGCTAATTTTACTGATCTTAGATGACGTTTTGAGAACCACCTTTATAGAATATTCTAGGTTAATCATTCTCTTCCCTCTCAAAATCCCAAATACAGAAAATATTGCCTGCCACAATTTACAAACACAAAAATTGCTTTCACATACATATTTTTAAATTATAAATAATATAAGCCCCCAAGAAACAAACTACTTATGTCCCTCAGAGGACAATAAATTTCCATAAAATGTTTTCCTTTTAAGCTCTGGGTGAGGATGTCCTGACTTTCCTTTCCCATGTGAAAGCAGACGAAAATTCAACAGCATTCAACGGGCCAAAAGCTTCCTCCACCTGTGAGAACCTTATGTCTTTGCTTGTACTTTCTCTTACTGTGACCCCATTAGGATAATAGTATGTGGAAATTTTCGTGTTTCCTTTGGGAGTCTCTGGGGCTATTAAATCCTCACAAGTAAATATGATGTGCCATGCACTGTCAGGTCAATTAATCAAAATTGACTCTGGTTCCTGAAGAAAACGGAGCTGCTTAGTGCCAGCAAGAGCTCATTCTGAGGGTCAAGACCACTCTTCCACCTTCACAATTAACAACCCCCAGAATACAAACTCTGGGAGCTCAAGGCTCATCTCTACCTTGTTCACTGCAGGAAGCCTGGGAACACAGTAGGTGCTCAATAAGTACCGATTGAATAAATAAATGTGCCCGGTAAAGGTTAAGTTTTAAGCTAACACTGATTTCTCTGCCACCCTTATATTCTTAGGTGGACATTCTGCTTATGTGAGTCTCCCAACATCTTTTTATATGAGCTTTGAGGAGTCTGTGAATCCTCTAAAATTATTTGGAAATCCTTATAAGTATTTGCACAACTACATTTTTTTGGAGAATTAGTAACTTTAAAAAAAAGAAAAAGGTTGTGATTTTAAAAGATGAAGAACCACCAACAGCGGGTGATTAAAATGATACAGACTACCTAAGAGTTTAATAGGACAATATGCACCACCAAAAATATTTTTTTAATGAGCTAACTAATTACGCCTTTTCTTTCAAGGCTGTTTACTCAAAAGCAACCCAAAAGTTGCATTTAACTAGGAAAGCCCCCACACCACATCATTTCAAAAGACTCGGTGGAAATAATTTTCCTGATTTTTCTTGGTGGAAATTATCTGAACCAACTGGTTGTTTTTGGCAATATGAAGCCACAATTTTGCAAGTTAATTCTAACTTTTTCCTATCTGTAAACCCCAAAAGGATGTGGGCTTTAAAATATGTTAAGTCAGCAAACCAAGATTAATCTACCAGCTAAGAAATACTAGCTATTTCTAAAGATCAAAATAATACAGTTCCTTACAACACTCAATAAAGTAAAATTCCTTATTTACACATACTCCCAGGGACAAGATCCATAATACCTTGAATTTGAATCATTCAGTTTTGACCAAAAACAAACTTAAAACTTAAATCCCATTTAATAGCACAAAAGAAATCATTCCATTGAATTTCATCTATATCACATATTCAATTTTACTCAATATTAAAAAAATTAGAAACTATACAAAAAGTAACCTATCTTGCTAGACATCGACCAAAGATAACTCAACAGAAAGAAATTATATATTTTTTTCTGTATAGAATATCTAATGCTATGACATGGAAATTGCAAGAAGTGTTATCAAGATAATTATCTGGCCCTAGCCAATTTGGCTCAGTGGATAGAGCATCAATCTGAAGACTGAAGAGTCCCAGGTTCGATTCTGGCCAAGGGCATATGCCCAGGTGGTGGACTCAATCCCCAGTAAAGGATGTGCAGGAGGCAGCCATTCAATGATTCTCTCTCATCATTGATGTTTCTATATCTCTCTCCCTTCCTCTCTGAAATCAATTAAAAATAATTTTTTTAAAAGACAGTTATCTGAGTAATAAAGTGATAAAATCTGGCAACTAAATTAAATATAATCTCTTCAGTAATATAATCTCTTGAGACTATTGTCCACCCTTAATATTAAAGAAAATTTTTCATTACACTTACATTGCTTAATCATATTCTACACCTGTCCTCAGATAGTTTGCTTTATTATCAATTAAATAGAAATATTAGTCTCCTAATTTCAAATTCCAGAAAAGTTCTCTTTAGAAAATCCATATCAATATACGAGTAGAAATTTTATTGCTTTAAATTGCAAACTGCAATCCACATTGTTATCAGACTTTGAACATTTTGACTGTTACCAAAATCCCCTCGTAATCCATCCTCTGATTTATACATTAATTTAACTCTGCCACCAGTAAACCTGAAGCAAACTATACCAAGGAGGTGACGATTTCTCTCTCTTCCCCAGCTTAACTAAACAAAAACCCTGTGAAGTAAATGTTTACCCCATTGTACAGGAAAAGGAAACTGAGACTTCAAGAAGTGATTCAGGCCACATAGTAAGGGAAGTTAAGATTTAATCCAGGTCTAGGGGATTTCATAGAACATATCCTTTTTCTCTCTT